GAGGGGTGAGATTAGTATATATTCTTTTTTTTGTATGTTATGTATGTATGGTTATGGGTATGTATTGGTATTGGTATGGGTATGAGGATGAGGTTGTATAGTATAGTATGATATGAAAGGAAAGGGATTTCATACCGGTTGTTGCATCTCCATACCGACATTCTCAGAGGTCATAGGAGCCTCGGATTGGATTTGTTGTTCGACGATAGGTTGTTCGAAAGCCATTTTGAGAGAGAGAGAGAGAGAGAGAGAGAGGGATGAGATATCTATTCAAATGATTATATGTTAATAATGAGATCTACTTGACTCCGAGTAGTCTGCTTGAATATAGATATACTGACTTTATAAGGTGGTTTTTTGTAGATTTGAAAGGTTTGGTTTGGAATGGGAAGGAAAGTTTTATGTATGAGTTTAAGTCTGGCTGGAGTCTATAATAAATTGAGGAAGGAGAAGAAGATCAATGGATAAGTAATAAATGGGGGGGGGGGAATTCGAACCTTTTTGAATTCCCTCAGATACAGCTAGATACAGCAAACATTCACTATTCTATTATGGACTATGCAGATATTATTTCATTCATTCATTCATTCATTGGTTTCTACGGAGTGTAGTATGGAGTATGACGATAGATAGTAGGGTCTAGTACATTGTGGAGATCTTTCGTTGGCAGATTGACTAGACTGGGAGGGCAGGGGCTCGTATCATCTATGAGAGATTATTAACCAATCAAAACACCTATAATAACTCAATGAACAAACGGTGAATACCTAGATAACTATAATAATAGCTAAGCTCAGCCACGTATATCTGCAAGTAGAGTAGATCAAACGCGAGCTAGTCAAACCTTATGAGATGGTAGGTAGGTAGGTAAGGTATTCTACTATTCCGGTACTATCTATTATGTACCTATAATACTGTACCTACCCTACCTAGTTATGTTGGTTGGTACCTGCGTGGTATTGGTAGGTATAATTATTCCACGCGTTCGTATATTCGAAGGTCCAGTCCAGTTCATCACATACATACATACTCTGTACATAGGTGAATCAGCCAACATTTAGTTACAGTTTGAATGTTTCATGTCTGACCAAGAAATCCATTCCTTGCAAATGAGGCTGGGGATACCGAGTTGAATACAGTAGATAGTCTTTTTCATGATCTTCATGCATATCTATTAGTACCGTACAGCTTATATTACGAGCGGTTAGTTGTTCCACCCCATATTATTTTTTGGCTCAACTCAATACTGCTTAAGCATAAGGTTACGTTGATCCTCTTCTCTTCTCTTCTCTTCGTATTTTGTATTCCTATTCCTGTTCCCTATTCTTATCCTATCCTTATCCCTATCCTCTTGATTATGTATTGTACTGTAGTAGTTCTATAGTACAGTAGTATTACAAAATGCAACCAACCATTCAATCAATCCTTTCTAAAGTTAAATAGCGCATATCATATCAAATGCTAGTAGTGAGCGTCGAGTCGAGCGGTCATCTTGGTCATGTCATGTCATATCATCTTGAGACTTGATACTGTAGTTCAGCTCTCCAGGGATTTCACATTTGGATGTACCCGTACTCGGGATATCGAATGGGATAATTTCGGAGGAGATGGAGTTTAACTTATAAGATCCCATTGGACTGTTAGTGGTTTGGTTTGGATAAGGTTTGGAATATGACCTGACTGGATTAGTCGGCAGTGAGAAACTTTATGTACCGGTAGCTATAGTAGCCACTATTTACTTTTCGATCACGGGTCTTAAAATTTTGAGTACGAATTTCAGCCAATTAGAATAGGCCCCATATTGTCAAAAATTAAAAGCAACGTTATTTATTGTATCTATAATCATATTAAGTTTTGAGTTTTGAGTTTCCCAAAATACCATCAAAAGAATCCCCCCCCCATCCAAGAATCTAACCATAAATTCATTCCACTTCCTGCCTGCACCAACGACTTATGACTGTAATGTAATCCGCTAAGGTTAAACCCTAGCAATTACAACTCCCACAATCACCACAATTCCCACAATCACCCCCACAATCTCCGCAATCTCCGCAATCTACACACCAGAAGCAAAATAGCGGTTTATAGGAGGTAGTACTTGAACAACAACAAGAGCTACTGCAGTCTTCATCTTTTATCTACATAGTCCGTGATATATATATATTAGTATCTTCCTTCCTTCCTTTTACGAGATGTTTGATTTGTTTTGATATGATATGATATGATATGATATGGTGATAGGAGCGGAGCGACTTAAAAAAGCGACTTGCAGGTTCGGGGGCCATGGAGTCAGAGGTCATGGCTGTGGCTCCTGTACTATCGTTTGGTGTATTGGGCATGGCGATATTTTTGGAGGGGGTAGAGAAGAGACTTGTATACTGGATTGGATTAAGGACGGTTAGTTAGTTTGTTTGTGGGAAAACATAAAATATGGACAAGTGATTTTTTATATAATAACATACAGTAGACCAGGTAAGAGTAAGTACTTGGTGTCGATGATATGATATGATATATCAATATGGATTTTGTATCGTATGGATTCTACTTTGGAAATCTGAAGGTAGAGAGAGGTAGATGTGCTTTTCATAAACGTGCTTTGAATCTGGAATAGGTGATTGGTTGTGGTTATGTTTCGTTTTGCGCGATCAGGATACTGACTGATACTTGATTGACTGTTACAGTCACAATGATCGAGTCATTTCATTTTATTTCATTATCTTTCAGTCAGTCAGTCAGTCATGAATTTGTTTTAGCATCAGTATTGAAATTGGATCAGTCATCGACGAGTCATTTCGCGAAAGCTGCATGTATGAATCATAATCATCTTCATCTCCTTTCCCACATTTACTTACCACTTACCCAAGAACTCGATATTGCAGTTAGTTAATATCAGTACCAGCATACATCCACGACATTCAAGGCAAGGCATCGAAGTCCATCTCCACGAAGACCATCTTCTTGATGGACAGACACCAAACAGTCTCACCTCATTTCATTCTCAAGCTTCTTGTCAGTCCAGTCAAAAACGATCAACAAGTTTCTCCCACACTGTAGTACAGTATCATCCAAAATCATATCATATAATCAAGCTTATCACATTCATGATTCTACATATGCTCTATGCCTTTTCTGTCACTCTACTCGAGTATTTCATAGAACTTCATAGAACTTCACCAAATACCAAAATGAACACCACAGCCCCAACTCCCCCCATATCGATACCTATACCCGCATCCCCTAGACAAATTTCATCTCATCTTACCGGTATATTAAAATCTGAATCTAACTAATTCTAAACCTATACAAACTCTGAACCCCCATCACCGAAACTCCCCTTCTAGTCTTTAAACCATGAAAACAATACCAATACCAATACCACATCTTCATCTTCATCTTCAACTTCATCTTCATCAAAGTCACTAGTCACTAATAATCTAGTACACCTTCGCGCGGGACTCTAGTTACTTACTTGACGATCAAGATATAGATACCAAGATAAATATACCAGAAGTTTGTTGATGGGTGTATCGACTTGTTTAGTTTTATGTGAATACTTGTGCTGTGCGGTGTGGTGTGGTGCGGTATGTTGGCGAGTTTTTAGATTATTAGATAGATATCTCGCTGAAACTATAAACTGTGTACTGTATGGGAGAAAATACCAATGAGATGGGATGGGATGGGGTTGCATAGGATGGGCTTTATGGGCTTTAATGGTTAGGATTTGACATTTGATATATGGGTTATGGGTTATGAGGAACACCTGAATGTGTGTCTTGTACTCGAGGAGTCATAGTCTTATAGAACAGAGATAATATAAGATACTGCGTGTTCTTATATTCGAATTCGAATTCAAATTCAAATCGGATTCGGATTTGAGTTAGTAGATGTTAGGATATTAAGGGATGGTGGGTATCTATCTTTCTTGAAGTTTAGTTTTAATAATAAGAATAATAGAAATAAGAACACAAGCCTTTATAGATATCTAGATTTGATTCTAAGATTCACTATTCAATATTTGATATTGAAAGGGTTTAGTTTTGATAATCTGCACATTAAGCTTCAAATTGATATTATTTCTAAACCGGAAGGATTTGTTATCTTCCTTTCTCTGTCTTCAATCAATAAGTGCAATTGTTTTTAGCTGTTTCATTCATATCAGTTTGTCTTGTCATACAGATTGAATGGACATATAAAACTCGAGTACTATTACTGTTGAATATCCACTCCAAATCTGAACATTTGGTATTTAAAGGTACCATGCTATTGATATATTACCATTTGCCTCGATATTTCTCGTTACATTATTATCTTTGCTAAGGATTGAAGATGAGGAGAGTTTGTATGAGTATGGAAGCCCTTTGAGAATCTAATACTCGTAGACAGCGGGTTTACTCCCTTCTCTACCCATTTCTCGATCTTGCGTCAAGATCATGAACATTGTATTTTAATCCTCAAGTACTTATAATAATAGTAACAAACAACCCGATGAGCGTCAAGACTGCAGATTTCTAATATACAGACAGACATTGTAGTATAATCAACATTTCACATAATCATAATCATAATCACCTCAAGACATGTCTCGCCTAGATAAAACCACTAGGCGCACTATTTTCCTACATCAAACGAAGTCCAACGACTTATTATCATCAATTGAATTAAATTACGAGTAAACAATAACCGGATTGGAAAATATAACGAAAATAACAATGCTTGGATTTGGATATCAATTTCGCGCCTTAACAAACTCGTACTCGTACTCGTACTAAATTCCAAGACTCAACTTGAACTCAAGTCCAAGTCCAAAAAGCAGCTAGCCAGTAAACCAAAAAGCAGTTTAAAAACATCACTTTTCATAAAACATTGTCCAGTGAACCAATTCCAATTCAACCAATTCAACCAATTCAACCAATTAACCCAACTTATCCTCCTCATTAACCCAATCATGCCCATCTCCCCTTCCTTATCCTCTTATCCTCTCCACCTCCTTCCGTCCCCTCCTAAACAGGATTCGACGTAACAACCGGCTCACCCGCTCCCGGATGAACACCTGTATGAGCAGTATTTCCTCCCACACCCGCTCCTGTACCGACTCCAGTAGCAGCTCCTGTACCCGCTCCCGTTTGGCCCGGGGTATGCATTTCCATATCTCTGTTGTGGTGTTTCTTTGGGAAAGCATTGCTGTGACCGCCTTCATCGTGGTGTTTGAGGATTTTGCCGAGGGTGTAGCAGAAGGTTATGATGAAGAGGACGCTATTTATGTGTGTATTGATTAGCAAAAGATTATCCATACAATTTCTTATATCCCGAGTATCTGTATCTATCCAAAAAAAATTAAGAGAGAAAGAAGCCCCCAAAAAGACAAGGAAAAAAATATATATAAAATCAACTCACAATTCCACCGCAGCCAACACAGTAGCCGCAATATACACGGCACGAAAATTATGATAACTAGTCCTAGCCCTCTTCTCCAACCCATTACTACCTCCCAAATTCAAATCATCCCTCTCCTCCAACTCCAACAAATCTCTTCTGCAAAAAAAGTTTCCGCAGCCATAATAATCGAATCTGCCCCTGTAACGACGCACTTGAACTGCGCTTGTGATCCAAGCTGCTACCCAGAAAATTATGAGGAAGATGTCTAGACAGGCTATTGCCCAGTAGTTGTAGATGGAGGTGAAACGGTGGGTGGCGAGGAGTATGTAGAGGACTATTAGGATTGTTGCGCTGGCCTGGATGAATGGATGGATTCGTTAGAGGTTTTGTGGTGATGATGAGGGAGGATGTGGAGGGATGTGGGGGTTTAGGGGAAGGATAGTAAATAAAAAATAAAAAATAACATAACATACGACGAATAGATCCAAGCTAGCTCCCGAGTACGAAATAAATGTCACGACAAAACCGGCCAATCCAAGAATCGCCAACGCGATGATAAGTTGCAGAATTCGCAATGCGCTGAGTGCTTTACTGGGTCTTAGAACATGACCCGTGTGTATCTCCTGATTTTCGGTACCCAGTCTTGTGGCACCGGCGTGCGTGTCCGACATTGTGGAGAATTATTTCCTATCTTTCCTTCTTTCGTTCGTTCGAGAAGGGGGGAAATATGGAAATATGCAAGATTGGAGGTTGGGAATGATGAATGAATGGCGTATCTAGTTAATTTCGGAGAGAGATAGGTTCGGTGGGAATGGAAGTGGAAGCCCTTTTTGAGGAAATGAAGAATGTAACTAGATGTGTGCAAGTGAGACATGGGAATAAAGAATGAAAAAGGTGTTCGCTAAGAACAGGCGAGTGGCGACGTTTGCGGGATAAAGAATTATGATAATGTGCATCGTGAATTTTGAAAAACTGCTTGCAGGTTAATTCCTGATGTGAAGTGATGATGAGATGATTGATTCTGGAGTAGAATTTCATTTTTTGCAATATTTGCAATCAGTTTGGATTGTGTTTTGAACTCGGAATTGATTGATTTAAGGAAACTTGGATACATTTTCTCGATCTAATTGGTCGCATTCAGCCCCGTCCAGAGCTTTTGAGTGGCTCAAATAATTGTTGCATCTCAATCTGGTAACTGGAGGTCGCCCATTGGGACTCACTAAAGCCCTCTCAATCAAAACTTGTCGTATCAGGTAAATAGACACCCCGTCATAGAGCCTGCATGCCAAACTCACCCGACCTCGCCGATATATATGAACTTGATCTCTCATATGAAAAGGAAAAACTACATGAAACGAGTACTCCATCAGTTGTCCAAGTTTGATGGACACCGAAGGCTAAATCCAATCTCTAACTCCCATCCTGAGCCATCACCTCATCGACAATCTCCCAGAAGCTCTCAACATCCACCACAGCTCCAAACTGATAACATCGTGACAGGCTCCCCAAGCCTCTCTTCAGATACTCTATTCTTCTTTCACCTACCACTTTGTCGATTTCATGATGATATTTCTCCGCTATCATGAACCATGCCTGAACAGGAGTAATCTCAAAATCTGAAGTAGGTAGCGATTGAGACATGGCGTATAGTTGAGCTAAAGAAATGTATGAAGAAAGCCATGACGACTCAGATGTAAGATCGTCAAACGCTTCAAGTGGTGCGTGAGAGAATATATGAGTTGACGCCATGAGCTCGTGACCGGAAGGGTTGCCGGTAGGGTCAAAAGGGGGAGCGGGATTTGGAACATGATGGAAATGAGTACGGCAAGGGTGTTCGAGGCTGTGAGATTGGAATCAATACATGATCGGGTTTAAAGGAGTCAAGAACTTACGCAAGAATGAAATTTATTGCGATGATCGATAGGTCAGGCGTTGGTGTCGAAACCGTAATTTGAGGCGTGGGAACGTGACCGGGAAGTGGTGGTAATGGCTTCGATAAATCCATCGTCCCCGACCCTCTGAAAGAACTACTCGACGAGTCGCTGAGATGAAGACAAGATGCATTTATAAATTCGTCGAATTGAATACTGGCATGCGAGCCTGTTGAAATACTTGAATTGTATGGTAAGATTACATCTTGGCCGTTGGAAAAATAGTTTGTTGAAGGATTAATGTCCTGAGTAAGCATGTCACTAATATAACTGGAAAGTCTATCATTCTCTGTCTCAAAGTCGATAGGTGCGATGGTGACTCTCTTTCTTTGCATAGATTCAGAGATGGTAAGACTACTGAACGAATCATGATCCTGTGGAGGTAGATAAATGGTAGGCTGATTTCCAGGTAACTTGTGATTTTGCGATCGCAAGATCGAAAAGTTCTTCACACCTGAAGCCAATAAAGTTGATTTCATCGCTCCGTTTTCTTTCATCAAGGCCGAAGTTTCGTTCTCTGTTGTGGCAATCATCTCGCGAAGACGTATTGCATCCTCTTCAAGATGCTTGGCGTAGTTCTCTTTTCGCTGTCGATGTTCTCTGGTAGAGGAATTAGCACTGGGACTGGATAATAAATGGAGAAGGGAGTAACATTTGTGCTCTTCGGACTTGAGCTCGTCTATGCTGTTTTTGAGATGCTGCAGATGTTGTTTCGCTATCTTTGTCCTTGGCTGTCATTCTCGATTAGTGTTACGTAGAGAAAGTAGACAGTTAGGCAATTACATAACTGTCACCCACCTCGTGAGATGATTCAGAAATTTGCAACTGTTACAACGCAATAGGGGGGTTTTGAGGTAGATATATACTTCGAAGTAGAAATATGTTAAAATGAAGGTAAGCTCAAATTAACTTACAAGTCTTTGGCTTCGTGACATTGGGCATAAATTTGACCTTCTTAGATGCTAGTTTATCAACCGAGCGATGCCAGAACGATGTGAAGGTTGCATCTTGAGATTCATCTGTCATGACTGGAATTTAGATGTCTAATTTGCCACAGTTGATTCCAAATCTATCGCTATTTCGTGATTTTTCATTCGAACTCCGATATTGACTCTCCAAAACAAGACAAGTGCTGAATCCTGACCCAAGATTATTTACAGAACAGGTGGTATTGCATGGGTGAATATGTCAACAGAATGAAGATGTAGAAGAGTATTTGATGTTTGATTCTAATTATCGACATGATCATGTTGAATACGAAACTTGTCACGAAAATGTACGTCAGCCGCAGCGTTGTTCATTTGCTCCTTTGGAATACAAAATACTTGATCCAGCCTAGTACTAGTTAGTGCCTTGGCTCGGTTTTGGTGTGAAATCACGTGCCGTTTCTTTAAATCTAACCTCAAGCTTTTCGTCCTCTTGCTCTCTCTCTTGCTCTCAATCAACATAATTTTGAGCTTCCAAATAAGCTTTGCGACAATGACCATTGGATATCTATTTTCAAGAATTCTTGTCTCGTCTACGAGTACATCGATTATCGTTCTCCCAACAACTATTCATAGTTGTTCTTGAATCTTACCCCATGCGAACCGCTGGTTGGTTCTTTCCGACCTGCATCGCGAACGCTGCCTTAGGTTGTAATCAGCTCATCACCTATCCGATTGATTGTTGTGATGCACCTAGCCGGTGGTGACCACTGCCACGTTTATGTTAGTACATAACGGTTGTGTTCGAAGATTCGAAATGGCTGTATCCCTTGATTCTGTTGGTTGATATTTACTTAAAGTCGAGCGTTACAGGTAATAGACATGCGCCCATACAGCCTGATGATACACGAAAATGGTTCTTGTAGCCAGGCATGTAGATATGGAAAATAGAATTAATTATAAAGTTTCGCGTTCTCGTTTTTTGCAGCTCTGATTGATTTATTGATTGCTTGAAGCGAAGATAATGTTTTTGTCTACTCGAGGAGAAGTAATAATTACTTTTGTGGTAACCTTGGCCAATCAAAAAGTAACCTCTACTCGGTGATACATTCGATGAGGCTCCAGATGATTTCCTGCACCTTAGTTGGCTGATGATGATTGAAAGTGTTATTTTGTTTTGGCTGTGTCACGGTCGCATGGTAGAGCCAACGAATTTGTGATACTTGACATTCTCCTTGTTTTTTTTTTTTTTTCAGTTACCGACTCACAAATTATCTGAGTATAATGCTTTGATTTCTCCTGCACAGATCATTTTGATGCAATTTGCTATTTATTCGTTTCAAATATAACCTCAGCCTTTCTCCAAATATGAGTGTCTTACATCATATCCCTAAATTTAATTATGCAGGAAACTTCACTGGTGAAAACCAATCAGCTTCGAGATGGCTCAGAAATATCAAACTTGACCTTGATTCTAGCAGCTCCGAATTAAATCCAATGCACATGTATGTATGGGCTATTGATGTCTTGTTGGAAGGATCTGCAGCACAATGGTGCGATTCCATCCCAGCAATCAAGCGTATTTTGAAGAATTACGACACAGCAGATTCGTCAGAGGTCAAATGGCTTGAGCGTGAGCTGATCAAACAATTTCCTGGAGACATTATGGATACCCCTGTTGAGCGCATCATTACCCGAAGCCATTTGTATAGTCTCAAGGTAGTTACGAACTTAGACTCTGCTACGGCAGGGCTAGAGAAGGTATATATCAGTCAGAAGACCAAGAGCTGGACTCAGTGGTCAAAAACACCCCGGGCTACTCAGGGCCATCGCAAACATCAATACCATGATGATCGACAAGACAGGCGTGGGACATCACAAAGAGCAAAAGAGAGTGGTGTCATTGACGAGTATCACTTCTACAATAGGCCCAGGTCTTCAGCGAGCTCTCCAAAATACCACAACGATCAGTATCATGGTTCTAAAACTGTTACCAAAACGCTACCGGTCTCTAAGACATACAGCAGCAATCGAGCCCAACCAAATGCTGACGGGAAAATGTTCTCGAAAAATACCACTCCACGGGGTATCCTAAAGAATAGCCCTAACTATGTCCGACAGCCAAGTGCGTATCCCTGCGACAATCAAGAGCCCAAAAGAGTCCGCTATTTGAGCGTTAGAAATTCGCCTCCCCTCCAAAGTCATCACAGCGTTGACCACCACCCAAAACATCAAAGTCAGGAACCTCGAAAAACACCGCATATACACCATTCAGAATCCAGAACTTACCCTTCCGATTCGAGACCAAAACATCAGAGTTCACAAACGTCCTATCCAGAGGTCACAGTTATACCATCGAGTTCTCGGCATCGGCATTGGTCTTATGTGCCGCTTTCTGCCCCTCGAGCTTCTCGTTACCCGGTCCAAAAGTCGACTGATCGTGAACGTGGCCCATCTACATACCAAACACGATCGAAACCTAGCTCCAGCACTTGGAAAACATTCAACTCGGCGATTGATACACTTGAGCAACGTCGTCGAGCCTCAAGCCGTTGGTTTCTGAGCTGAAGATTAAAGGCACGATCACGTTTCCGAAATTATGGACAAATGGCGGTAGTTTTGGTTGATACGATTGCACTTCTTAACTATATCAATATGGAGTCACTCAAAAGCAAGTCGTCACCCAAAAGCAATTATTCAATTCATACTCGACCGCTCAGATGTATGATCCCATAACTATCTTCGATATCCCAAGTTTACGTTGAATTACGGAGCAATAGAGTATTCGAATGTCCTACTCCTATTGAGGCCCGAACATTTACATGTGCACATCGTTCCTCACGTCATGGTAACTTAAACCTTGGGATATAACCTGTCTCATTACACTTGTAGCAGAGAGATACGGTATATGTGTAGGTGATACGTGCGAGCAATGTATGGGTGGAACAATACCTATGGGAGACGGCGAAGAAGGGCAATGCAAAAGTCAACATGAAGTATCTTGGCATTGATGATCAGGCGTGACACTGAAACCTTTACTTCTCCTATGTACCTATACTTCTGTCATTCTAATAATTGAATTTCTCCTTGAGGCTTGGGCAGTAAATCTCAAACAAGATGATGACGACATGTTTAGTTTAGATCATCGATGTGGATACACATCTTTATATCTATGCTATGAGATAGAAGGCAAGGAATAGTTCGAACACACCTAAGTTTATTACATTCCCGCAAATGATATTGAGATTATCAAAAAGTTAGAGTAAGAATATTTGGGCTACAAAGAATACCTAAGTATCACTGGATAGCCGACTTACTTCACTCTCATATCTTCACTTTCATGTCTATCTTCGAAATGAAAGCAATTGGTCAATACTCGAGTACCGTCAACTCTCTTCGTACTCTCTCTATATTACAATATAGCCATTCGCTCCACTCACACCAATAATATCACTATACAGTATAATATAGAACAAACCATCAAATAATGATATAATCATCAAAAATAAAAGTAAAAGTAAAACCCATTCTTTTCCTCAAGAAAAGTAATACTCCCCTTCCCTTCCCTTCCCCCACCTTCATCCCCATTCACCCTCCTTCCTCCCTCCCTTCCTTCCTTCCTTCCTTCCTTCCTTCCTCCCTTCCTTCCTTCCTTCCTTCCTTCCTCCCTTCCTTCAGATACCAAAACACTCGCTTCCCCCCAAAACAAACATGTCCCGTCCCGTCCCGTCCGTCTTCGTAGTCCAGTCGTCTCATTATTACTTCTCAGTTATATCGAGACTAACGATTTGGCTAGCAAAACCAATTTGACGCTACAACAGTAACTGTCAACTTAATTCAAAAAAGTCTGAAAAGACTCAATCCAACCAATACCAAATTCCAACCAAATCAAATTCCAAATCAGTCAGTCAGTCTGAAAAGACTTCCTTCACATTACCCAACCCAATGAAGCCAGCCCATGAACCAAACAAAACAAATATGCCAGAAATGCGAGGGAGTACCTTGATTTGTAAGTATTATTTACCTTGATGAGATGACTGGACTAGGACTTGGACTAGGACTTGGACTTGGACTTGGACATAACACATTTTTCTTTTTTTTCTTTTGGTGTTTTTTTTCTATATACTGTATCTACCATATGCTGATCTGGGGAATTGTTTGGATCTCAGACTTCTGATTGGATTTAGATTCTGATTTTGATTTTGCTTGTGAGGTAATGATGAGTAGTGGTGTGGTATAGTATAGTATTTCATTTCATTTCATTCATACATTCATCATCAAATATACAAAACAAATAAAATACAATACAGCAACATATATAAGGTATCTATCTATCCCATCTCGAATTCCGCTAAAAATACTCAACCACAGCCATTCAATCCAATCAATTAGCAGCCAGTATCTCCGCCGCCCCCTGCGAAGGCATATCATAAACAATCTCATCATGTTTCGCATGGCCCTCCGCTTCCTTTCTCCTCCACTCCTCATGTTCATGCGCCTTGTAACTTGCAAATCTCAAGCTAGTTAATACCATAAATGCCATGAACAGGATGCCCATTACTGATCTTCGGGTTAGAACCCAGCGAAGACCTTCGATTTCGGATTTTACGTCGCTGTTGAGCATTACGGTGATTTTATAGTTTAATTCTTGTATCTAGTTGGGGGTTAGAAATGGATAGGATGGATGTGAATGGAGATGGAAGGATGGAAGGAAGACATACTCCGGTTTCCATGGTGCGCTGTTCTTGTCGTACAGTCATCTTGCGGTCATCGAACATTCCTTTCAAATCATCCCTCAGCGTGAGCAATTCTTGAGTGAGTTTTTGATTGAGAATCTCTACTTCGTGTTGGAGTAGTGTACGTTCCCTGCGCATTTTCTCCTCGTTTGCCTTGCGATTATTTTGTATTTCGGCTTTTAATTCGGAACATGCTGCGCGGAATAGGTAGGTCTCCTGTAATTATCTGTTAGGAAATGTGATACAAGAGAGAGTAGAAAAGCTCGTAGAAAGACTGACGTTCTCAACATCGCTTTTGCTAACCAATCCTTCCTTTGCTACATCCAAGTTGATTGCTAATAATTCCCTCACTGCCTTCATGGAAGTAATGCTCTGATCCTTTGTGAAGCCCCCTCCCTGAACCTGCTGTACCAAAGCATATGTGTCGAAATGATGAACGTAAGGCGGGGTTTGTAAATGTGGTGGCTTGAGTGAATCTTGAGCTTCCGCAGAGTCAGGCGGTGGCATATGTAATACCGTTTCTAGAGGTGCCATTTTACTAGTATTGACAGTAGCTTGTTGGCGGGGTGTCAATGGTTCCGGACCTTGAGTGGTACTAGATCTCGCCGTAACCCCAGGATCTCCAGCTATGATCGAAGCAGCTTGCGTCTCTTCTGATAATGGCGCTGCAGAAGAAACACCCTTTGCTGTCTTCCGATCATTGTCTTTGGCATTATTGACTTTCTGTGACTCCTTTTCCACTTTCACGTCCTTCGTATCCTTTTTAACCACTTCTTCCTCTTCTTTGACCTCCTCCTCTGGCAGGAAAACCTTCACATCACTCTCAATTTCACCCTCTTTCAGAAAAGGCTCTACAGCTTTCCCATGTCTCTGCACGAACACATCCCCCCTTTTCTGCGTTGTGCCAAATTGTCTCGGTCGTCGTGGGCGCGTTGCTCGTCCTGATTGTATGCGTATTCTTGGTGCAATAGGCTCACTAGTTCGAATCCCGCGAAATAAGGTGGGATATAGGAAGGTTAGACGTGTTGTAGACATACTTCATATTGGTTGACGTTGAATTCCATGGATCCATCTGTTCAAGAGATCAACAGATGGTTATCGAATGCCGAGAATGCCCCACCCACGTGGAATGATGTGTTCAACTCAGCCTTACTGCAAGGCTAATAAGGTTGCGCACGGCCTTTTTCAATGTTTCTTTGCTCATAACCATTTGGTTTCCAAAACACAACTAACAGAACTCAAAGGTAGCATCAAAGGTAGTATATCAACTGACAGCTCACTCCTTGCTACTTGACCCTGAGAAAGTCAAAGCTGGACTTATTCAATCGGATCCAATCAAGCCATTTCTCTCCTTTCATTACACACGAGACTTGGACCCAAACCCAGACCCAGACCCAGATTAATGCGTGACTTCGGCATTCAACATCTTATTAAGTCTTCAAAGGTTGTGATCTATAGGCTCTGTTATTGGACAAGTTCTTGTATGACCTTGATATCGATGGTCTGCGGATAGTAATAAAATAATCACACAAAATGTAGGCCAATGCTCATCAATCAATCAATCAATCCGTAATCTGTGGAAAGAGGTGTGGATGATGTATCAAACGTCAATAGAAATTATAGTACTAGTATCTACCTGCTATTAGTACTTTACAGGTTAATATATATACCGGTATTCATACACAGACACATGGGCGAGGTTTAAGTATGGAAGAGCATGTTTGTATCGAAAGATTTGTGATTCAATCACCTCTAATTTTCGAAATAGAAGAAGAGAAGACTAAGACTATTCTATGCCTTATCCTTGTTCTCTATTGTATTGTGTTATCACTTCTACAAACCATCTACCCGAATCGAGTATGGTCACTTCAATATGCCTGCCCAATGTTCTATTGTATATTGAAATTGGATTGGAATAATCAAGGTAACACCAGACCCAAGAAACCCCCCCTTATACACCCATCTAAACAGAACCCTCCACATAAACAAATAATCCGCACATCATTGGTCCATCCCAAGCCCCAGTCTCCAGAGAACAATGTCTCTAATACCGTAACAAAGAATCAAACACCAAAACCTCCCTCCCTTGTTCCCACAACAATGCAACTGAACAATCCTATTATTAAAGATATAATGAGCCCCAAATGTGCAACAGATGAATTTTTCCGCTTCCACATCCACATCCAAACGTCAATTCTTCTTACAGCTTCATTCTTTGCCTTCAACACCCGAAACTAAAGTACGAAACTCGTAAGTCGATATCCAAACCCAATCCCAAGCCAAAATCCCCCAAATGTCACCCAAGAGGAATTTCGACGCTCAAGTCAAGCAGATTCCCACCATGACGAACGAATTCCAAAAAGGTAGCAGAGGCAGCAACGACAATAATAATAGTAGCAATAATGCCCCTCCCACCTCCAGAATGTCTCCATCAGAGTCTCCCATGGAACAAATTCTCCCAGCTACATACTCCCACAGATTCACCTCCAGACCTATCCTGTCCCGCCGATTTGACCCCAACACTTTACAACAGCTTCAAGACTCCGTCTCGGCCCTTAGTTCTCAAATCGAAGAAGATGAGATGAAACGTAATGTGGCTGCTAAGCAGCAGTGGGAGGCTGAGCAGGTTGAGCAGGCGAGAAAGACGGCTGAGAGGGAAGATACTTTGAGGACCATGGTTGCCCAGCAGGAAAAGCAAAGAGCTGATCGAATGCAAGCAGGTAATTATGAGTGAGGGAAGATGAGTGGAGAGGTACCAGGTAGATTGATACAAGATTTTCGTTTGTAGATTTCCTTTCTCCCCTTAATGGAGACGCAGGTACGTCTTTCATTGTACGTGTTTTCTTGAATAACGAGTATCTGAGTGGATAAGAAACAGGAGGACGAACGGTTAATGGTAGATTGATATCAGAATTTCATTTGTAGGCTCCCAATTCTTTACCCAATGGATACTCAGTAACAAATACCATTAAACATCTTAATCAAAATATATCCATGCGTTTTAGTGATCAATTGATGCGTATATTAATGAGACCAACTGATCCGATGTGATTGTAAAAATCTGTAATGTTGTTGTGAACTTTGCTCTCAATCTAAAAGAATTGATTAGTATTTTCCAGCGATAGTCTCCCCTTCATTTCCTCCTTATGTAGTTCTTGATTTCCTGCCGATTCCTCTTGATTTGTGATATTCTTACCTTCATTGTTCGAGTCCCTGCTCTCAAGATTTCCAGTGTCATGACACCGGGACATTGCTAAAGCTGCCTGGCTAACTTTACTTTTGGTGAAAATATCGACTGCACAACTAACTTCCACAAAATCTTCCATCTCTTCACTAACTGTATTAAGCTTTTCTTTAACAGATGCTATACCTTCATAACCTACAATATGTCTTGCTGGAGGATTTTCGTGACCTCCAATTGCGGTCAAAGCATGAACAGTTTCCATAACTAACTTGTCTCTTGCTTCACTGGGCAGAATAGGGAACCTCGACTCAATGGTACTCTTTGAAGATCCATCGGGTTGTGGGTCAATCAGAGTATCTGGATGCGTGTTTAGTACATTCGTCAAGATATCCCTCAATCCTGGAGCCGGATTGTTTTGACTTTCATATTGTGGTAACTGTGGGGCGAAAGTAATCTTGTTTGTCAGAACTGAAATCTCTTTATTTGGTTGAACAATCGTCAACTTGACATTGAATGGAGCAATCTCATAAGTTAGAGAATCACAAAATCCTTCCAGAGCCCAGGTCGCAGCACAGTACATGGACATTCCAGGTGTCCCTATGTGACCTGTGATTCCAGTAAGAACGATGATATGACCATCGCGTTTTTTTCGAAGATGTGGTAAGGCAGATTTGATAAAGTTGATTTGGCTGAAGTAGATGGTTTCGAATTGATCACGAACGAGACTTTGCGTCGCTGAACAAGTTGAAAGCTCCTCGACGGTCCCGACAACAGCTACATCATCGCTGTCAGTTTACAACCTCGACAAACATACCCAGGTGAAATACCTTCAGATGTGCAGCACATCAAAATATCTATACGACCAAATACTTGGATAGCTTCAGCAATAGCTGCTCCGCACTGCGATTTGGCCCTGTTACAGATTCAGTACAAACTCAGCTTACGAGAACGGAATGCTTCACCTTCCATCACACTTGATTCCACGAATTCTGTCCTTCCAACCCTCACATTGCTTTGATCCACTGTTACAGTCGTTGATGAGTTCCCTGAATTCTGCACTTCGTTCATCGTCTTCTATTTCGTCTGGCGGTAGACCAGCAGCTATATAGTCACCATGTTTGAGAAGAAGCCTTATCAATCTGACAGATAATGGGGATAGCGCAGATGTTAAGAACCAAACTCGAGGTGAATTGTGTATGGCTATCGTACATCAGTAAGAATACTTTTGTAGTGTAATGAATGACCAAAGTACATACGAAATGATGCACTGCGTGCTTTTGAAGGAGTACTGGTACTAGCATTTGAAGGGCCAGCCTCGGAATTCTTTCGTTCCATTGTGAATTGACACCGGTATTAACCAAAAATATGTGTTAGAAAGTATTTACATGAATATTCAAATTGACAATCTCTGTTTTTAAATAGATGAGCAGGAAAGCTGACTTCGCTGAGGTTTGATATTGACCGGAAGTCGCACGTGATACTGCAACCTTATGTAATGACGGCAATGACAGGGGGTATTAGTAACTTTGCGCTAAACATCCCACTTATGAAATTGGAAATCCGGGGTAAAGTTATACGATTTCTTTCTTCCTGACTCACCTCTCACTCACCACTTCACTCAATCGACTCCTCGGAATACATCACAACTTGCAAGGTACGTTCAAATTTTACAATTAAATTGATATAAAGTTAGTGAAGAAAAGGTGGTAGTGATCTACCATCTGATTTACTTATTCCTCAGTTAAAGGCGAATGGTATGAGGTTAACCATACAATTAATTGATACCACAATCTCAAGTCCATAATCGTTATTGAAGAATTGTCATTGTCGATCATTACATCTTGACAATCTCTGACGTGTCTTCTCTAGAACCATTCACCTAAAATACTGCCAAATCTTCGAACTTTACATACGATTCCCCTTCCCTACTCAGAAATATGCCTTCTCGCTCAGAAATCACCTACTTTGGTGCAGGTCCTGCCCTACTTCCAACCGAAGTTCTAGAGACCGCAGCTGCAGCTCTTATAGATTACAAAGGGACGGGTCTCGGTCTGGCAGAGCACTCACATCGATCGGAGATTGCTGCGAATGTTTTGAATACCACGAAAGCCAATCTAGCGAAATATTTAGATATACCAGACGACTACGAGATACTGTTCATGCAGGGGGGCGGTAGTGGAGAGTTTTCGGCAACAGTGTACAACATGGTCGCGATTTGGGTTGAGAAAAGGAAACAAAAGATTTTGAAGGGGTTGGGTATTTCTTCGGATAAGGACATTCCAGAAGATGCCCTTGTGAGAGAGCTTCAAAAGGCTGTGGATGAGGAGCTCAAGATTGATTATTTAGTTACCGGTTCGTGGTCATTGAAGGCTAGCCAGGAGGCGGCTCGATTGGTTGGCTCTGAGCATGTCAACATTGTTGCAGATTCTAGAACGACCAATGATGGTAAGTTTGGGACCATACCAGAGGAAAAAGACTGGAAACTTTCCAAGAACTCAGCTATGGTATACTATTGCGACAATGAAACCGTTGATGGAGTCGAGTTTCCCGGTTTCCCAAAAGCTTTAGAACCAACCGGTGAAGATGATGAGCCAATCGTAGTGGCAGATATGTCGTCGAATATTCTCTCGAGACGCATTCCCGTAAAGAATTTCTCCGTCATCTTTTTCGGTGCCCAGAAGAACTTGGGTAGTACCGGAATCACCGTCGTCATCATCAAGAAGAGCCTCCTCCCTCCAGTCGTTGCCACACCCGCCTCAACTCTGTTAAGAAAGCTTGGTTTACCAATTGGTCCAATCGTACTCTCATATGAAACCATCGCCAAGAACAACAGTCTCTACAACACTTTGAGCATATTTGAGTAAGTATACACCATACCTCGAACCGCCTAACAATTCTAACTACCTCATCCAGCGTCTACATCGCGGGTCTAGTCCTTGAAAAACTCCTCGCCACCTACTCCAATGGCATCGATGGCCAAGAATCCATCTCGAACCAAAAGTCCGCCCTCATCTACTCCGCTCTCGATGCCCATCCTACCTCTTACAAAGTCGTCCCTGGCGTCTCCGCACGCTCAAGAATGAATATTTGTTTCCGTGTCACCACCTCTGAAAATATCGCCGATGCAGAGAAAGCATTTTTGGCGGGAGCTGTCGAGCAAGGTCTTACTGGTCTTAAAGGTCATAGAAGTGTTGGTGGCATTCGAGCTAGCAATTATAACTCGATTTCGTTGGAAGGGGCGAGGAAGTTGGTGAAGTATATTAATGAATTTGCCGAGAAAAAGTGAGGGATAGCGAAACTTTATGTAAGGGGAAATGAATGAGGTTGGAGAATTATGATTCCATGATATGCATATCTACTACTGTATAGGGATTGTAATGAGATGAGACGAGTGAGAGAAGACTGGTTTCAATATGAGTAGTCAAGCGAGTTAGCTAGCAGATGGATGCACTACCTATCTATGATATAAACACTCGGATACAGGAAACGGGAAAGCAAAAAAGGGTTTTGACATAACGTGG